CTTAACCTTCATTGTTTTTGGGTGGGTCAAACTTTTTCCTGGGACCTACTAAGGATAAATACACTCACACATGTTTAGTTTATGTTTTTGTTCACTTAGCATAGTTTATTGTAACCATGTAAAACCAAAAGAGTCCCTTAAAGATGATCAGTATGTGGGAAAAGGCCTTCTCTCCTACTAACCAGTTTACTTTCACTTTAACCAGACATAGTTTAGCTGTCATGATTTTATTCAAAGATCTGACCCACATGCAGAAAACCAAACAGAGACCAGGGGAAGGTTTAAAATGTTTTTGAGAAATGGTAGAGATGGGTCCAGTACTGCTCTGAACACTGGCGAATCGGGACTGAAAAATGAAGGGGAAGTTCCTGAGGTTAGTTCAGGCTCAGTGGGAAATTTGAGCTCTGATTTGCAAAAGGGAATAAAGGCAAAAGGACTCACTTTTCCAGAAAGGGTGTCTTTCTCTGAATCCAGTCGGTGAGGGTTGTTCCAGTAATTGACTTGCTCGTTGGAGGGCAGAGAGGGTCTACCCAGTTTGAGGTGTTTACTTGTGGAATGGAGGAGCTGACTGCCACTCTACTGTTTCTGGTGGAGATGAATCCCCTGCTCAGTGTGAAGCTCAAACAATCCTTTGGAGAAAAGTTGATCCAAACCACCAGTTTGAATCCTCAGCTCAGTTTGAAGCTTAGATGATCCTTCCAGGGAGAGAAGGTCCAAAACATCCAGTTTGCAGGATGACTTCCCAAAACTGGCAAACACTCTGGCGTCGAGGTAGTGGCAGTCACCAGCTTAAGAATCCTCAGGTGATGAGGCAACCATCCGCAGGGTGTGAGAGGACCAACGAGAACCAGGCGCCACCTGGTGGTGGAGGGAAAACAAACAAAAAAACACAACCCACACAGACTGGATTCCTAACATTAGCTGCAGTTACTAATATTTTGGGTTATTCAGCAAAGTGACTAATGTGTATGTTTATTCTGGGATGTTTTTGTTATTTATTTTAACATTGCTTTTAGATGAAATGATGTGCTAAAACTTAGAATATCTTTGTTTTCTTCTTGAGGCTGTGTCCGAACATCCGCACTAAACCCTAAATCCCTCAATCACTATATAGAGCATAGACTATAAAGTGGACTTTATAGTGAACTCAGTGAACTGACCGTTAAGACAGATGATCACTGCTTTTTGCTTCCTGTTGGTTGGTTGGTTGCTCGTTGACTCCGCCTCTCGGTGCGGTGTCTGCGCCATCTTTGTTTGTTATTGCGGCTAAAACAAATCTCATGACGCTCTGTAAGGAGAGCTCTGGCAAGGCAATCTGGGATATATCTGCTCATCTAGTGACCACTGATCATTCAAGGTGCATTGTGGGAAATTTCTTCCTCTCTAAAATGGCATAACCACTATTTAGTGCCCTATATAGGGCGCTATATGGTGATTAATCACTATGCCGAGCACTATCTGGTGTTTAATCACTATACGTGGCACTATATGGTGATTAATCACCAAATGGGACACTTTATGGTGATTAATCACCAAATGGGGCACTATATGGTGATTAATCACTATGGGACACCATACATTGAGTACTCATCATATAGTGCCCCGTATGGTGATTCATAACCATATGGGGCACTATCTGGTGTTTAATCACTATACAGGGCACTATATGGTGATTAATCACTATACGTGGCACTATATGGTGATTAATCACTATGGGACACTATATGGTGATTAATCACTATGGGACACTATATGGTGATTAATCACCAAATGGGACACTATATGGTGATTAATCACTATACGCGGCACTATATGGTGATTAATCACCAAATGGGGCACTATATGGTGATTAATCACTATGGGACACTATATGGTGATTAATCACCAAATGGGACACTATATGGTGATTAATCACCAAATGGGGCACTATATGGTGATTAATCACTATGGGACACTATATGGTGATTAATCACCAAATGGGGCACTATATGGTGATTAATCACTATACGCGGCACTATATGGTGATTAATCACCAAATGGGGCACTATATGATGATTAATCACTATGGGACACTATATGGTGATTAATCACCAAATGGGGCACTATATGGTGATTAGTCACTATACGTGGCACTATATAGTGATTAATCACTATGGGACACTATATGGTGATTAATCACCAAATGGGACACTATATGGTGATTAATCACCAAATGGGGCACTATATGGTGATTAATCACTATGGGACACTATATGGTGATTAATCACCAAATGGGACACTATATGGTGATTAATCACTATATGCGGCACTATATGGTGATTAATCACCAAATGGGGCACTATATGGTGATTAATCACTATATGCGGCACTATATGGTGATTAATCACCAAATGGGGCACTATATGGTGATTAATCAGTATACGTGGCACTATATGGTGATTAATCACCAAATGGGAAAATATGTTTTCAAAATAAAATCCAAAATTTACCAGACTTAAAATGTTAATAGAACTTTGGCATACAGACTATAAATTACTTCTAAAACTGTTTTTATGAGATTTTTTTTTAAGTTCCGTTTTTTGAAGGCCATTTTCTTCAAGCTTCCTCTGGTGAAACATGTTGATTGCTTTCAGTAATACAGGACAAAATGTCTCCCCAAACGAATGGAGAGGAGCGAGCTGAGGATGAATGACAGCAATCTAATTGGAAAATTTCTAAATAAAAACTGATAAGAAAAGGTTCATTTGTGACCTAATTAAACCAGTAATCATTAGAAATATGGTTGTCAAGTTGTACTGCTAATACCTGTTCGCTTGAAGACGACTTAAAAGCAGAACAGATCCAGTCTGTTAATGTCGTCTTTAGACTAATTGCTGCTTTTAGTTTTATCGAAATAATCTAACCTCTATTTCCATTTAAACCAGTGTGAGTATTTGGGCAGCCAGTGCTTCCCATCAGATAAAGACATTGATCCTTTTTTTTTTCTCCTATAAAACACAGAGAAATCTGAATATTTCTTGAATCTCTCAGTTTTGTTCCTTCCATATTTGTTTTCCTTGGTTTAGGTTCCTTTTATGACTCCTGGTTAAAAAGAAGTGATTGCTAATAAACATGTTTATGTGATACAGTGATTTACAAAACCAGCCTCCATTCTTGTCCTTGTAGTTCCGACATGTTTGTTTTGTAATTTATGTGAATAAATATTGGATTTTTTTTTTTTTTTTACAGTAAATGTGTCCAAGTTTCCAATCATTATCATCACCAACAGCACCTTAACATGAAGGTTTATGCAAAAACAGCTCTTAATGACTATCCTGAAAACATGGATGAATGGATGGACAGATCTATGATGGATGGGTAATTAGCGGACAGTTGAATGGGTGATGGATAGATGAATGGATGGACGGACAGAAGATGAACAGTATTAATAATGTAAGGATAAATACTTCAGAGAAACAAAGTCAGGATATTCTACAAGGTTCCCACAGATCCTTAAAATCCTTAAAGGTTTGTAAATTAGAAAATGTAAAGTTCCAGAACGTTGTTATGAACACAGCCATAATAACACACCTGCCTTAAAGTCTTGGGATGTTTTCAGGGTTTTAAGTTTCACACGGATGGATGATTTTGTTTGGTTTCAACTGCATTACTCTCTTCACTCAGCCAAGGTAACGGGTCCATAACAACAGACGCATCGAGACATTCAAATTGTCTGATGCACGGCCAAATAAAGATGCTGAGGCCGCTCACACTGAGCCTGGTTCTGCTGGAGGTTTCTTCCTGTTAAAAGGGAGTTTTTCCTCTCCACTGTCGCTTCAAGCGTGCTAACTGTAAGGGATTGCTGAAGAGTCAATGAGTCGATGCAATCAGCTGGTTTTCCTTAGATAGAAAACTTTGAATCAATCTGACTGAATGATCTGGTGAACTGGAAAGTGCCCTGAGATGACATGATGTGAATTGGTGCTATAGAAATAAACTGAATAGAATTTAATTGATAAGAACTTCAAACTAAACTGAACGAGTTCCTGCCTATTCTCTAAACTAATAAAGATAAGTAGATTTACTGCACATCTAATCATTTTTGCATAACTCACAGGCTCATGTGTATGGAAAGCTTTAAAACATTATGCAGTGGCAAACTCTAGTATTAACACCTTAAATTTAAAACCTATCTTCATTATATATCACTTTATTTGTATTTTATGGGATGGACCAACACAAAGCTTGAAATATCTTTATTTAGAAAGATGAATAATACAAGACAAGACTTTAAAAGGGTCTTAAAAATTCTTTGGGATACTTGCGCCACCTTCAGATGCATCTGAGGGTATTTTGGCAAATATCTCTGGCAGCTTTCAACACCTGGAAGTTTCAGCCTTTCACTTTCTGTAGAGTTGTGTTGTTGTCTAAAAGGTTCAAAGTACCACTGTTAAAGTTTGCTCTTCGACCTTTATGATAAAGAAACAATCTCTGTCTATCATAATCTCCCTATATTAGATTGTGTACATAAAGCAAAATAAAAAGGAAAATGACAAACTTCTAAAAGTTGAAAAAGAAACGTGTTTTTCTTTATCTTAGAATAGAATAAAATAGAATAGAAAATCCCTTCATTGTCCCACAATGGGGACATTCTGGTGTTTACAGTAGCAAAAAGATTATAGAAAAAATGGTCACACAAATGTGGACCTTAGAGAAATTTATAAGTATAACATAATAGTTAAAAGTTAAAAATTACATTTTACACACACTGTTAATGTGAAGTAGCACTTAATAAATTAGAACCACTGAAAATATTTATTTTTTTAAGTTTATGCAGTTTTATTGTAATCAATTTAATTATAGGTTGAATTTATGACATAAATAAATCAATAAGAATGATCAAGCTGTCGCAGAAAAGATGCTAAAGTCTGTTTTTACTGAACAGGAAGCAGCGTTTCCTGGTGCTTTTATTTTGACAGGACAAAGCGGAAGTGCCGTGCTGCTTTTCGCAGGTGACGCTCTGTGATTGGATCCTGCTGTTGTTTCGCTCGCTATTCTCATCAAGATGGCTGCTGTTGTCGGGGATGGAGAATAACGGCAGGCTGTCATCCGCAAACAGGCCGAGGAAACAGATCTAAAAACCCGAAGCGGACAACTTCTAGTGAAACTAGTTCTTTTCCTGAAGGTAAATCTCTTCCTCCCTCTTCTTCTCACCGTCAGCATCCTTTTTTTCTGCCATCGATTAATAATTGATTGACACTTGTCGTTGAGGAATGAATCAGATCCCCGCTCTGGGTGTGTGAAGGTATTTTTCACCGCAGAATTTATTCATTTTTGGACTGAATTGTGTCATTTAAGCTCATTTCGTCTTCCTGCGGTAAATCAGTGACCGTGTCCGATAGCATGAAGGTTGTTGAGGTTAAAGCAGCCATATAACGCTGTTATAAACCACCGCGGCTGACATCAAAGGACGGGGCGTGGCTTCATTCTGCCACTGAACAAGGCAATTATCATTATTAGGATTAATATTATTACCGATAAAAGCAACGACTTGCTTTATTGTTATATCATAGAAGCTCTGAAATCTGTTTAACAAGCTTATTATTGTTTTTAATTTTTTTTTGCACAAAAACATAAAAGTAAATAAAATAAAATAAAAATATAGGATAAAACCAATCAGTACAGTTTGGTAAGATGATGTATTTTTAGGACAGATATTTATTTATTTTTTATAAATGATCCAATAGTCCATTGGTGCACCTGCTCAGAACAAAGAAAGCAGGACAGATACGGCGTTAAATTGCTGCCAAAAATCAGACGAGCGTATTAAACAATAAAAATATTGCCCATTTAATAACCGAAAGAGCGTGTCACTACCCGATCCTTTCTGCACATGCGCCATCATCCAGATATACTTTCGGGTCGCCCTCAAATTTTATTTTGTTAAAACAGACCTAAATAACGTTTTCCCCCAAAATAGGAAGCGTACTGAAATATGTGTTAAAGGTTAATAATGTATTTCCTGAGAAAATAAATCCCGTAAAATCCTTTCTGTTTTATCACTCATCGGAAATGGGATTCTACGCAACATAGATCTAGTCTTTTTAAGTTTTATTTCGTCTTAACATTATGGTATACAGCTTGTTACCCAAAGAAAGAAACAACTAAAATCCAGATAAACGCGGTTTAATCGTATTTTGCCGGACTGCTCTGAGCATGTAGCATGATGACGTCAAAGAAGCAGTTTAATGAAGAAAAAGCATCAAAATTGTTTCACAAAAGTCATAAAACAATTTTTAAAGATGTGTGTTAGCATTCTTTAGAGAGTTAGGGATAGAAAAAAGTAATTTTAGTACAATAATTACATTATTTTTGGACACCTGGATGTATATGTGTTGGCGCATACACAGGACGGATTGGATAGTAACAGAGCGCATAGCAGTGATCGTGGGCATGTATAGTTACACTACAACTAGCTGCTTATCACGATTAATTAACTTTATTCGACTGCTTCAAATAACAAACTTATTTTGCAAACTTAATTTGCTTATTTTGGTACGAGGCAGTTGGTCATGGCTTCACAATCTTAAAATATGTAGTAATATCATCAACTTAATATAAAAAAATAATTCATAAACACCAAGCTATCTGCTAGCTTCCACCAGATTGGAGCTGAAAATCCGGCCAATCAGATCCAGCGGAATAGAAACTTCCCCTGACTGACATTTTACTACAAGAGGGGGAGAGGGGGCGTGTTTTTCTGCACGCCGTGCTGCGTTCAAGAGTGCTTGATTAACAATACACGCCCGCGATCTCTGCTATGCGCTCTTTACGTTATTGAATGCGAGGTTGTTATTAACGATTGCACTATTGGGATTGCTTAATACGCTCGTCTGATTTTTGGCAGCAATTTAACACCATAGACATATATTAAAGAAGTAAAAAAAGAGTGGAAATTAGGATTTATAAACATCAAATGTATTATTGAAATCCCTCTAAATGTTAGGATTTATCACAACGGATGTTAAGTCAAGATTACAGTTTGATGGCTGACTATTAAAGAAATGAAATATAAGAAATATTAAAATATTGGTAGTGTTTATGGCTTGCAGGGAAAGGTGCAGAACTGGGCCGGTTCTGATGCTCCTGCTCAGCTTCTGCCTCATTGGTCGGTTAGAGAAAACCCAGTTGGAGATAAAAAGCTTTTCAGTCTGAGAATGAGGCCAACAGAGGAGCAGCTGCTTGTTTGGCATCATTAAAGGCCCGACGTTCAAATTACAGCATTTCTCTGAATATCTGCAGAAAGACGGGTCGGGGCAGAGAAGAAGCCTCCAAATTGCTGCATTTAAGGGTTTTACTGGGAATCCTGATGGTGCAGGTTTAGGCTGCACGCCCATTTTCCCTGTTTGAACAGCCGGGGTAACGGCTCCACCCTAACGCCGCCTGGGAGTCACATGTTAGCTTCAGATTTAATGCAGTCTGTTCAGCAGCTACACTGCAAAAACCATCCAGAAACAAGTAATAATGTCTTAAATTAAGTGTATTTACCCTTAATTTGAGCAGGTAAATAAGATTATTTGCCAATTGAATGAGTATTTTTACTCTTAAAATAAGATAATTAGATAAAATGCACTTGAAATAAGACAATGCAATATTTTTTACTTATTATAAATGTTAATTGTCTTGTTCTGTTGGCAAAGTGTCTCAATTACCACCTCAGTTCAAGAGAAAATGCACTTATTTTAGGAAAAAATGACTTAGATTTACATTTTTTGCAGTGTATATGAGTCTTTGACATTTATTTGGGGCTGAAACAATTAATCCTTATCAATTATTACAATAAATTTAAACTAATTTATTAATTGAATCAAATGGTTGCCTATTGTAACGGTTCAGTCTCCATAATTTACTGAAAAAAATAACCTACTTCCTGCAGAAATTCAGACAAAACTTTACAAAATATAAACATTTTCCATTCAAGATCAAAAATCTTTGTATTATATGTATATAATTATATCATTACATGTATATTTACATGTTTTTTGTATTTTAGAATGATTTTTTAGTTAGAAACGTTAATTTATTGAATCTTTTTGATGAATCAGTTACTCCAAAAAGAAAATAGATTGAGAAAATAACTGACTGCTGCAGCTCTACTTTTTATTTCTACATCACAATCATCTGCGATCTCATCATATTGTGTTGAAGTTTGGGGGAATATATACAAAACAAATTTACAGCCATTATACGTTTTACAAAAGAAATCAATCCGAATACTACATAAAGTGGGATACTGGGAACACACAAACCAGTTATTTATCAAATCAAATATACTGAAATTCTGCGACCTGGTAATATTTAGAACTTTACAATTCATGTTTAAGGTACGAAATCAAAAACTTTCACACAATATACGGGAAATGTTTGGTGAGGGGGGGGTTATGATCTAAGAGGTGAAGGATACTTTAAAAAAAACAACACTTTAGAACAACCAGGAAGAGTTTTTGTTTATCTGTGTGTGGAGATAAATGTCTGGAATGGATTGAATGACGAGTTTAAAAAAATTATAAATGCAAACCAATTAAAAAAACTGATTAAAACCGAGCTCATTTCAAAATACGCTATATAAGATGACCGTTTAATAGTCTATAATGTAATTGATGACATAAATAGTACTTAAAATAATTGTACATGGCTAAACATCATGTGGAATGGAAACAAGTGTTTTTTTTTTATGTTTTGACAGTTAATTGAGGATAAATTGACAAGTAGGAAAGGGGCGGGACATTATAAAATGTATCTTCTACCTGCTCCTTTTCGAACAGAAAATATAAAATATGTCACATGGGCAAAATAATTTGTTTTATATTTTCATTCTTAAGTTTGTTTCATTCAAATGTTTTTTCTTTCTTGATTGTTTTTACTGTCTGTTCGAAATAAATAAAATAAAAATAATCTACCTGCTGAGTCCAGGTTGTCTGTGATTGGCCGTTAAGAACAATTAGCCACTTAAGGCGCAGTATGTTGATGGCGGATGCACATGGAGACCCCGATCAGAACTATTTGATCTTTACAAGCTTTTCCATAATCAGATTATAATAATAATTATTATTATTAATTTCGTTTGGATTAAAATGGCTTTAAAAACCAGCAGCTGATATTTCTCAGACATCCTCCACCGTTCTGATCTGGACCAGACTCAGATATGAGGAAACCAGGAACAGACGTGACAAACAGCTTCTCTTTGTATGCGAGATGTGTAGGCTGTCGCCATGGTGACAGCCGTCCATTTTAATGTCCGTCTTTGATTGGAAATGAGATCCTGCCGTCGCCCCGCTATCAGCCAGCTGAGGTGTTTATCAGGAGGCGAGCAGAAGCTGCCGGCTGGTCTGAGGTCAGCCGACGTCTTCTCAGCTGCCGAAGCTTCATCTGAACAGGCTCCGCCCACCGGGACGTTTGTTTATCATCTTTTCCATAAAGCATCTTCTGAGGACATTTCTAAAGCCTTTAAAGTCGATCATCTGTTATTTTTCAGCTTAAATCTGACAGGAACGCTTCTTTCCTCCGTCTCCTACAGGAAGAAGGTCAGGGACAGACGAGCCGCAGACATGGACACCACCACGTCCATCAAGATGACCACTCTGGCCATCCAGAACCTGTTCAGCTACGTAGAGGAGGAGAACCTGGGCGCCCTCAAAGCTCACCTGGACCGCTTCAAGGAGGTGGACGGCCGCAGCGACGTACGTAGCGCTCAGCTTCCCTCACCTTTTTTCAACTCTTACATATTTTTACATCTAAATTTAAACTCTTCTACTTTATTCCTTTTAAAGCACAAAGTGTTTCACTTAAAAAAAGGAATGATTAAAACTTATAAAAAGTCAAAACCATAAAAACAAAGAGGTTAAAACAATAAATAAGTCTCATTCTGTGCTGAAAACTAAACAATAAATGATTAATTATTATGGATTTAACAATCCAAAATATTTATTTCATTGTTTTAGGTATTATAGCATTTGTTTTTGATTCCATTTGCTATTAATTGAATTAAATCATATATTTCTCTTCATTTTAATGTGATTTACTAACAAAGTGAATTAGGTCTGTATTTAGTTTTCATTGTTTCTTGGTTTGTTTAGTTTATCGTCTCAGATTTATTCCCTGGATGCTGATTGTTGGTAGAGCATGGTTGAAATGAAGCCACCGGCCGCCATATTGGCACTCCCTAGTTAGACCGGTCGCAATGTAAACAATACCTGCGCCACAGCATGGAACCACGATGATGTTCTCATTTTCAGGGGGACTTCAGACTTTTAAAATAAAGATGAATGCAGGGTTCGTAATCTGGAAATCCTTGAAAATGCTTGAATTTTGACGTCGTGTTTTCAAGGTTTGAAAATTGCTTATATTTTGGATGAAATGCTTTAAAATGCTTGAAATTGTAACTATTTCTTTCGCAACAAATCCCTATCTAACCTAATTGTGTGTTTATTAAATGGAGAAATAAAATGTTGGAGAGCCCGAAAATGAAACCTGCTCGCTTATGTGTGACTGCGATGTGCCAGTCTATTTCTACGTGTGAACGTTTTCGTTTCAATGAACGTTGGCTGGAAGATGAAAAATACAAATTATGGATTAAACGGGGACAAACCCCACGAGTTGCCTCTTGTAAAGTCTGCAAAAAAAGATGTGCAGCTTTTAGCAACGGGCGAGTCTGCGCTGTCGAGTCGCATGAAGGGTCAGTCATAGACTTTTTAAGTAAGCCAACTGAAGTAGCCTAGTACACTTAATGTTAGCGCCTATTTGTTTACGCTAGTAACTAGGGATGGGGATCGAAACCCGATTCTATCAAGGACCCGGTTCCACCTTTTTCAAAACCCGAAAATCAATAACATTTGGGCTTAATGATACCACTATCGAGTCTGGTCGTTTTTTTTCTTTTTCTTCCGGAGGTCCTGTAACTCCCTCGAGTCGCATCACAGCATTTAAATCTAATCAATCCAATCACTGCAGCGTGTCCACCAATGTTTTGGAATGAAATTGTAAGCAAACAGAAATTAAAAGTAAAACAAGTGAAGTCTGGCAGTTAACTTCGCTCGCGACTTGAGGATGGCTGAACGGAACAGACTCCTCCTCCTCCTGCGGCTGCCGCCGCACCACAGTTGGGCCCGTCTTCATCGTCCACTCAGAGTACCACTGCTAAGCGCGCACACAGACTTTGTAGCTTGTCCGGTCAGTTAAAAATAGTAATTGTGAAATCCGTGTTGTAATCGGAAGCATACAAGCTAGTTAGCTTGAAAAGTAAATAGTTTCAGACGTGCTGCGTGATGATGTGTTCAGATTGGCTCAGTAAAACGACAATTAGGTTATCACGATGCGTTCAAGTGTAACGTAAAGAAAACGGGAAATTGAGTTTTTGGCAAGAAACATGAGTAATACAGTTGTATATTGCTCTAATTATTTTAGAATATATAATTAAACTACTGATGCCAACATTTATTAAAAATTACATTTAATTTAAAATACAATTATTTATTTGTTAAATATTTTCCTAATCACTAAAAACATGATGAAAAGTGACAGTAGACAATACATTAACCAACAATTGTGAAAATATATTCTAGTTAGTTTTATGTCACTTCGAAGTGGCCTATTACATTAGCCATGTTTATTGAAGGCTAGAAACGTTTTTGTTATGCTCACTTGTTAAGCAATAAAAGCAGTTCTGCGAAAAACATATTGTCGCATCGTCTTTCCACCAAATAACAGAAAAGTATCGATAGTGGTATCAATAAAGACTCGGATCGATAAGGAGTATCGATAAAGGTATCGATATCAATAAATATTAACGATCCCCATCCCTACTAGTAACTGCTAGCTAGGAATTCACAGGCTAAGTTACTGAGTGACTGAGAGTACGGTGCGATAATGTAATGTTAGTATTGCAGTGTTTCCCGCAGCACTATCTTGGCGCCAAACTCACGCTACCGCCTCGCCAACGTTCCAAAAAAACTTTGGAAAGGGTGTACGAACGCTGTAAATTCATCACTTTGACACACTGGATGTTTCATAGCATCACTAGCTTATTTTAACTTAGAATAAAAAAATAGTCACATCACATTGCATAGTCATTATGAACTCTATAGTCATCATGTAATATAACAAATTGTTCAAAACCATCACAATAAAATTCATGTGGCAGGGCTCGATGTTAACCATCGCCCGATCGCTCGGGGCAAGTAGTTTTTATTGTCGGGAGAGTAGAAATTTCATTGCATTTGCCCGGCGGGTAAGTGCAATGATCGCAAAAAAAGATTATTTATCACTCAAAATTACTTTTAAATCACCGACATTCGCTTAAAAAATGACCCAGAAGCGTTGCCGGCATCATTTTTGTTTTGTTTTTGTACACATTTTCGGAAATTACGTGTGGAACGTCTTCCTGCAGCCAGAAAACTGATTGTTTTTGCAGCCAAATGCTTCACATGGAGGCATTTTCATTGCATGTCTCTGTGGGAGTGGGGAGTACCAACATGGCGGACGGTGGCCTCACTTTGTTTTGATCAATCAGCAATCCAGTGACTGAAAAGAGAGCAGTGGTTTGGGTGTGTTCACCATGTTTGCTGCGTGCAGAACGGACAGACGCCGCTGATGCTGGCGGCGGAGCAGGGCAGCCTGGAGATCGTCCAGGAGCTCATCAGGAGGGGAGCCAACGTCAACCTGGACGACGTGGTGAGCAATACCCCCATCACTTGTTTTTCTATGCATTTCCCCGTGGTTGCTAGGACACGGGCCAGTTGATCGGCCGTTTCCGTGGTAACAGCGCTCCCTGTGCGTGCTTTCAGGACTGCTGGTCGGCTCTGATCTCTGCAGCCAAAGAGGGTCACCTGGAGGTGGTGAGGGAGCTGCTGGAGAACAGCGCCTACATCGAGCACAGAGACATGGTGGGAGCAGAGGCTCATGGGAAACGTAGTTGGAACTGATGTTATGGTGGATGTTGGTGTAAGGTGACGCGTTCTGTGGTTCAGGGCGGCTGGACGGCGCTGATGTGGGCGGCTTATAAAGGGCGAGTGGAGGTGACCCAGCTGCTGCTGGAGCACGGAGCCAACCCCAACACCACGGGACAGGTAGGCCCCCCCCCCCCACACACCCTGGCTGTCTGTAGTCACGCTGCAGGGCGTGCTCTGACACCCTCCCTCCCTCCTCTCTGAGCAGTACAGCGTGTATCCCATCATCTGGGCCGCAGGACGGGGACACGGCGAGATCGTCAGGCTGCTGCTGCAGCACGGAGCCAAAGTCAACTGTTCAGATAAGGTGACAGAGAGCAGCTCCGTCTGACGTTCAGAGACGCGCCGCCGTCGGCGCTTCGCACCAAACGTCTGTCTGTCTGTGTTTGTCTGGCAGTACGGAACCACCTCCCTGATCTGGGCCTCCAGGAAGGGGCACTACGACTGCGTGATGCATCTGCTGGAGAAAGGAGCCGACGTCGACCAGGAGGGCGCGGTAAGGGAACATGGGGGCGTTGTTACCGTGGCGATACGTCACTTAAGTCCCTCCCACATTTCAGGTGAAGCTGAGATGAAAAATCTGATGAACTGAAACCTAAACATGTTAGTTTGGTATAAATGTAGTAAAATAAACCCATCAGGATGAAGGTGAAGGTCTTTATCCTGACGGAGGTCCCTCACCCCGATGTTCCAGAAACCTCCATCCAGATTTAACCAATTAAAACCATTTAACAGCCAATGAAATTCTGGTCATGGGGACGTAAACCGTCTGGGTATGAAAATAAAAGCTGACGAGACAAATTTATGCACAACAGGAAGTAGCCGCAGCCAGGTTTCAGTGCGTCCATTCCATTAACTTTTTTTTTAACCGTTTTTCCACCTGTTTTTTTAGACGTCGACAGTATAATCTAATTCCTCTACATCTAACCTTCTCATAGAGCCCTTGGATTAATCAAAGGTGACTTTTGAATGATTTGCTGGTGAAGATTCTCAGTCATTCAGGTTATAGTCATTCCAAAAAATGTCAAAAACAAGTTGTTTCCAAGTTTTAAGACGTTTCTATTTCCATCCATTAGCTTTTTCAATTCAAAATGTCAGAAATAGCGTTGAGTTCAAAGCTTTATAGAGTGGACCAAAAACAAAGCCTTGTTTTGGCATGTTTTGGTTTCACTTCATCAGATTTGACATGGAAATTGAAACAGACAAACGGGTCCAAGTCTTTGGACTTGGGGTCGTTAGGCTTCCTTCCCCCTTTCAGAGACCTAGCAGGCTAACAAAATAAGCCAAACGACCTGAAAAGGTCGCACAATTACCCTTGATCCCTCCTTGGAAAGGTCTGAGCCTCTAGTTTCAATGATGGCAGCCATTAGGGGGCGGGGCTAAAAATGAATACCTGCAGTTGCATTACTCCTGCAGAGTCACAACCGTTAGGTGGAATTTTAAATCTCATTTTATTTGTTTACACAGCTACAAAACAAAAAGTATTTGTAAAAAAAAATAATTTTGAAACATGTTTTAGAAATTTTAAAGCCAAATTTGAAAGGATGAAACACCATGTGACTGTGTTTTGGCCATTTCTATACATAGATAAAAATGAGGAGGTATCAGTTGGGCCATTTACGGGGCTTAATGGGTTACACTGGAAAAAATCGAAATCTAGATAAGTCAGTTTTTCTTAAAATAAGTGCATTTGATCTTGGATTGAGGAGGTAAAAGAGACATTTTGCCAATGGAACGAGTCAATTTACTCTAAAAATAAGAAAACACTATTGCATTCTCTTATTTCTACGGAAGAGGATTAGGGCCAGTGGGGAAAAAAAAAAGTTAACTGATTTTTAAATTTTATTTCAGTTTAGTATGGGAAAAAAAAAAACAGAATTCTGACTTTTTTCCCATACTAAACTGAAATAAAATTTAAAAATCAGTTAACTTTTTTTTTTTTCCACTGGCCCTAATCCTCTTCCGTATATTTCAAGTGCATATCATCTAATTGTCTTATTCTAAGAGTAAAAATACTAATTCCACACTGCAAAAACGATCTAGATATAAGTAAAAATTTCTTAAATTAAGTGTATTTACACTTAATTTGAGTAGGTAAATATGGGGATTTGCCAATAAAATTAGTATCTTTACTCTTAAAATTAGATAATTAGATAATATGAACATGAAATAAGATAATGCAATTGTTTTTTCTTATTTTAAATGTAAGTTGTCTTGTTCCATTGGCAAAGTCTCTCACTTTTGTCCACAATTGGAGAAAAAATGCACTTACTTTAAGAAAAAATTACTTACTTAGATTTCCATTTTTTGCAGTGCATTGGCATACTATCTCATTTACCTACTCAAATTAAGGGTAAATACCCTTAATTTAAGAAAGTTTTACTTATTTCTAGATCATTTTTCCAGTGTTAGAGTTAAAATACTCATTCCTACTTAAATTAACAGTAAATACACTTAATTTAAGACATTTTTTTACCTATTTCTAGATTGTTTTTGCAGTGCAGTCCACCTTCTCCTGACTTATTCCTTTATAAAACGAGCATTAGTTTGTTTTAGACGACTATAACAGGATCAATGTCACTTTAGAGGTTTGGTAATGATTCGGTGTAAACCAGACATCCTCCCAGTAGACGTGACTGGTTCCAGTTGAGTAAAAACAGCGAGCTGTCCTCCTCAGAACTCCATGACGGCCCTGATCGTGGCCGTGAAGGGCGGCTACACGGAGGTGGTGAAGGAGCTCCTGAAGAGGAACCCCAACGTCAACATGACGGACAAGGACGGGAACACGGCGCTGATGATCGCCGCCAAAGAAGGCTACACCGAGATCGTCCAGGACCTGCTGGACGCCGGGACGTACGTCAACATCCCCGACCGGGTGAGACGCCGTGTTTCAGAGCCAGGGGGGGGGGGGCGTCCTCATCGGCGGCCTGGCCGCTGCTAACGACAGCCTGTGTGTTTCAGAGCGGGGACACGGTTCTGATCGGAGCGGTGAGGGGCGGCCACGTGGAGATCGTCAGAGCGCTGCTGCATAAATACGCCGACATCGACATCAGAGGACAGGTGAGATCAGCAGCCGTCATCATCAATGGCAAACCCCACGGTTTGTTGCTTGGCAACCACAGTATTTGGCTTATTTTAGTGTAACAGACAGATGAAAGGCTTTTTATAGCCTCAGATTCCTCCTAATCAGAGTCTGATTCCTCTTCCACTTCACATCCTTCACCTCTTTGTGAAACTAAAATCGCTGGATCAGTTTAACCCTTTAAAGCCCGATCCAAGAATATAACAAAACAGAAAAATACTTTTTTTTGGTTTGAAGTCCTTATTTGCCCTTTTAACAAAATATGTAAAAAGAAAAAAATGAAATACATTTTTTATATTAATAATTTATTACTATGCGATAAGTCAAGATTATTTTTTGTGTAGTCTTCTACTGGTTGTTATCAGGTATATCTGATTGTGTACAATAGGATTTTGAGCAAAGTTTTTACCATTAAGTTATGCAAAAGGTGTCAGACGCAAAACATTTCAGAAACCGTATGTATCAAATATGATACATTTGGCATTATTGGGTTAAAGAGCCCAGAATGAGTCCTTCAGATCCATGTAGATTAGCGGTCGGCAGCCTAAACTGTTCAAAGAGCCATATTGGAACAAAAACTGGGAATTGAAATTTATACATTTGATTGATGGTGAGAGAATTTAAAGTTTAGATTCCAGGTATTTCTTCCTGGTGTTCAGAGAAAAGGACATCAGTGATTTGTCTGATTTTGTGTTTTTCCATCACCGACGGCGACAGGACAATAAGACGGCTCTGTACTGGGCGGTGGAGAAAGGAAACGCCACCATGGTCCGGGACATCCTGCAGTGTAACCCGGACACTGAGACGTGCACCAAGGTGAGCCATCCGGGGTACGGGGTTCTGGTTCTGGTCCCATTCCAGGGATTCGGATCCGGTGGGAAGTGTTTCTGATCCCTGTTTCAATAAAACACTCACCAGATCATCCAGTCAGATTGATACAAGCAGCAAAAAGCAGAGAGAGCAGAACGTTAGAGATTGAACTAACAGATTCTGCAGAGTGGGAGAATAGAGATAGAATGAAGCAGAATGATGAAAAAGGGGTCCCTATGTCCTCCAGCAATCTAAGCCTATAGCAGCAGAACTATAGAGATAGCTCAGGATAACCTGAGCCACTCTAACTAGAAGCTTTATTAAAAAGTGTTTGTTCCTTCCTGTCAGGATGGAGACACGCCGCTGATCAAAGCCACTAAGATGAGGAACATCGACATCGTGGAGCTGCTGCTGGATAAAGGAGCCAAAGTGTCGGCTGTGGACAAGGTGGGCAAAACCGAACAGTTCTGACCAGAAGTTTTTACCCTTTAAAGGCATAAAATGCCTCCATTGTCCCATAGGAGACAAAATATTTCCATATTTCCTTTTTGCTAAGAAAGGAAAGTTTCTAAAGATCACTGAATGACTTCCCTCTTTGTGTTGTCCTGTTTGTCCAGAAAGGAGACACCCCGCTCCACATCGCCATCCGCGGCCGCAGCCGCCGCCTGGCCGAGCTGCTGCTCCGCAACCCCAAAGATGGCCGCCTGCTGTACCGACCCAACAAGGCCGGAGAGACGCCGTACAACATTGACTGCAGCCACCAGAAGAGCATCCTCACCCAGATCTTCGGGGCTCGTAGGTTCCTGTTTGGTTTCAGCGCAGGTTACTATGGAAACGTTGAGCTTACCGCATCATCCCCCCTCCCCCACAGGTCACCTCTCCCCCACAGAGACCGACGGCGACATGCTGGGTTACGACCTGTACAGCTCGGCTCTGGCCGACATCCTGAGTGAACCCACCATGCAGCCGCCCATCTGCGTGGGTCTGTACGCCCAGTGGGGCAGCGGGAAATCCTTCCTGCTCAAGAAGCTGGAGGGTGAGTCCGCCCCCCCTCTGACTGACCACACACACATCAGGACTCAACACCCTGCTCTCCTCCTCTTCCTCCCTCTGCTCAGATGAGATGAAGACGTTCGCCGGGCAGCAGATCGAGCCGCTGTTCCAGTTCTCCTGGCTGGTCGTCTTCCTTTCTCTGCTCTTTTGCGGCTCCGTCGCCGTCGTCCTCGGCTTCACAGTGGACGCCAAGCTGGCCATGGCGGTCTCCCTCAGCCTGCTGGCTCTGCTCTACCTGTTCTTTGGTGAGTCCTGACCTCTGCTGCTCTGCCCGGCTGTTCTTCAGCGCTGGGATGTGAGCAGATTTTCCTTTTCTGCAGTGGTCGTGTACTTTGGCGGCCGTAGGGAGGGTGAAAACTGGACATGGGCGTGGCTGATCAGCACCCGTCTGGCCCGTCACATCGGGTACCTGGAGCTGTTGCTAAGGCTGATGTTCGTGAATCCGCCGGAGCTGCCGGAGCAGAGCACCAGAGCTCTACCTGTCAGGTAGCGCTGATCAGACCCTGGAGGAAATAAAGGGGAAGCTGCTGTTAGCTGATGAGGATGTCTCCCCCGCAGGTTCCTATTCACAGACTACAACCGTCTGTCCAGCGTCGGCGGAGAGACGTCGATGGCCGAGATGATCGCTACGCTGTCAGACGCCTGCGAGAGAGAGTTTGGTTTCCTCGCAGCGCGTCTGTTCCGAGTGTTTAGGACTGAGGAGACGCAAGGTGAGACACCCAGGACGTCACAGATCTACTCCAGAGATCAGCGCGGTGTTCCCCAGGGTGCTATACTCGGCCCCCTCGGATATTATCTTAAGGGTCATTAAAATTCACCAAATTTAGTGATTGATTGACTTTATTGATCTCACAGTGGAGAAATGTCCTTGTTACATCAGCTCAAATAGTCTAAGAAGAAGGAGGTGTCTCGCGAGCTTTCAAGGTTTTACTCGCTAATCAGTCTGGAGACTCTCCGTTGAAGAAAATTTGGAGCCGTTCACCAAACGAACGTCCAATCAGCGTTGGCTTTGAGGCGGGGTTGAGGTGTGACGCAACGAGAAGCGCAACAGTTCAGTTTAAAGAACATGGCGGCTTCAGCCGATGAAACTAGCGTTAGCGTGGCTATCCAGCAAGTTTTATCGGAATTACAGAGTATTTCTTCACTGAAAGAAGAGCAAAACACTGCTCTGGAGGCTTTTCTCAGAGGAAAAGATGTTTTTGCTCTTCTCCCGACTGGTTTCGGCAAGAGTTTGATCTATCAATTGGTTTCTACATGGATATGCAGAGAAAATCCATCTGGTGGAGTCAGGTTACTACAATATATACAGTACGTCCACATATGAGAACTTTTTTTTTTTAAGAGTCTGGTTGAAGCAGGGATGAATGACCTGCGGGAGCGCTCCTTTTTTTTTATTTTTGTAAAAGTCTTTGACTAAAGGAGCTGCTCAGCTCCTCTGCAGTCGGCTGCAGAGGGTGGAAGGTGGCGTCCATGATGGATGGAAGCTTGGACAGCTCCCTCCTTTCAGCCACTGAGTCCAGAGTGCAGCCTAGGACAGAAACGGCCTTTCTCACCACTTTCTGTCCCGCTCTGCTTTGTTTTTTTTTCTTTTCTTTTTTCTCTTCTTTTCCTTCTTTCTTTAATTCGAAACAGTTTCAAATAAACCAATCAAATGATCACACAAACATCAGCTGGCCAATCAGCACACAGGAGGATGGCAGCTCAGAGCCCAGTTAGACCCTGGCTGAAAGAACTGTTCTTTTTATCTTTTTAAGGGGAAAAACATCCCAAACTATTATATATACTATATATATATATATATATATATATATATATATATATATATATATATATATATATATATATATATATATATATATATATATATATATATATATATACGGTATATAAGTTATATATACACAATAACTTACCGCTAAACTCAATACCATGGAAATTACTCTACTCTATACTTGATACAATGGGGATTAAAAAAAAAAAGTACCTTTTTTAAACTTAGTGGAGCATTGTTTCTAAGCAGAATTACCGATGCTAATTAAATTAGCTTTTGAAATAAATACATGATAAATAACTCAAATTTAATAAAATGTTCTTAAGTTGGTAAATTCAGTTTCTTTAAATGTGCAAATAATTCAGAAATCTAAAATAGGACAGAAGGAACGACAATCTAGAGAAGCCAATTAGCCTAACATTCATGTTTTTGGACTGTGGGAGGAAGCCGGAGTACCCAGAGGGAACCCACGCATGCTCAGGGAGAACATGCAGACTTCCCGGGAAGACCCGGGATTCAAACCTAGAACCTGCTTGCTGCAAGGCAGCAGTGCTACCCACTGAGCAGCCCCCAATTAGGTCCAATATTTGGAGAAAAAACGGTCATTAGTTTGCCCTAAATGAATGAATGATAAAGACTTAATGAGTTATAAAGTGTTTAAATCATAAACTCTTTATTAGCCATTTAAAAGACAACCTTATTGTAAATCACTAAAGCATTTTTATATTTGTTTGCCTCAATTTCAAGAGTTGTTTTTGAATTTAAACACGTCTGTAGAGCTAAAAAAAAACTGTTTAGTTGCCTAAGAAACATTTGTAGGGTTTTATTTTTTTCTCAAAACTCCTAAAAACTCGTTTACAGGAACGATGAACCTAATAAATCAGCCTCTAGTCAATAAACATGAGGAGATATTATACTATAGTTATTTTAATAAACAGAGATTAAACTAGAATTGATTTTTTGTTTTGTTTTCTAGTCTAAGGAATTATTAATTCCCTTTTTTATTTGCAGTATTTCAGCCTGTGTTCAAGTTCATGTTATGCTTCAACAATCCAGCTGGGGGCAGTAGAGAGTTTTTGTCATCAGTTGAAGAGATTTTTGCTGATTTACTGACATATTATTTCAGCTTTGATAAAATCATTTATAGATTTAATCCTAAAGCTGAGAAACTTTAGTTCTTCTGTCCTGCAGGTAAAAGGAAGTGGAAGAAGACGTGCTGCGTGCCGTCCTTCGTCCTCTTCGTCCTCATCCTGGCCTGCCTGATCGCCGGCATGGCGCTGCTGGCCGTCTTCAAGGTGGACGGCGAGAACCAGACGGTGAACGCCGTGCTGATCGCCATCGGCAGCGTGGTGGGCCTGGCCGTGCTGCTCAACTGCAAGACGTGGTGGCAGGTCACCGACTCGGTGCTGAACTCGCAGAGGAAGAGGCTGCATAGCGCCGCCAACAGGATGCACAAGCTGAAGAGCGAGGGCTTCATGAAGGTCAGACCCGCTTTTAAAAGAGCCTTCTGCTACCTGCAAACTCAATCAACAGACTAAGATCTTCTTTTCATCGTTCAGCCTTTTTTTCCTCAGTTTGCTAAAATCAGATTCTACCTAAAACAAGTGAAACACGTTAATGAAAGCTAATTCCGATCCTCATTAAATCCAACCCAGAAAAAGTTGTTAGAAACAAAACCGGAAGTTTCTTCCAAACATTTGTCCTCTAGTCCAGAGGTCACGGATTAGCGGACCGCAGTCCGGATCCAGACCCACCCACCAAATTACCGCATGTTTTCCATCGACAATATCTAACTTCACTTGCTCCTCTTCTCCTGTCAATACGGTAAAACCCTCCGGAGCGTCCGGCTCCAACTGAGCCAATGAGCTGTCAGTCTGGGTTGCTGCTGCTGCTACTTTTAGGCTACGTTCACACTGCAGGCCTTAATGCTCAATTCCGATTTTTTTGTGAAATCTGATTTTTTTGCGTGTCCGTTCATACTTCCAAGTATATGCGACTTGTATGTGATCTACTGTGTGAACTGAAAGCGTTCAACCGAAGTGTCCCGCATGCGCACTCGAGGACGCGATGACGTCACATGTAGCAAGCGTCCTCAGTGTTTGCGGAAGTAAACATGAGTCGTAATACCGCAGCGTATATTGCGTACTTTTAGTTCTTCTCCAACAGGAGCAGGCACATTACGAACAAAATCTTTTTAAGAAGATCAAAAAGAAAGAGAGCCAGGTTCCGGTTTGGTCTGAATCGAGCTATCTTTCCAAATATGAATTAAGTCAGCAACCTCACTTTCTCTCCATTGACTGCTCTCTGTGTTATCTTCCGCCATGGTTGTTAGTTTTTCCCGCCTCCGCTTAGTAGGACGCAGATTAGCAACATTTGGTAACATTTGTCAAGTATCAATGACGTGTAGGTCGGATGAATGCGACCTGGCCGTACAGACACAGGTCGCATTTGAAAAGATCAGATACGTATCGGATTCAGGACCACATATCCAAGTGGCCTGGGTCGCATTTGAAAAAATCCGATCTGTGTCGTTCAGACTGTCATAAAATGATCAGATACAGGTCACATATGGGCAAAAAAATCCGAATTGGGTCACTTTAGGCTGCAGTGTGAATGTAGCCTTAGACACAGCAGGCAAACCTGTGGCAAGCCGGGCGATGGGAAAGAAGGAGAAGACCATGAGAAAAAGAGAGCAGAGAAAGTGTGGACTGCTGGAAGAACTGCGGTGAACTGGTGAAAGAAAAGTGAAATGGCGTGCTCAAAGATGACCCTGCACATTTAGAGGATGTTTGGCTCAACCTGCTGCTGTGAAGCAGGATTCTCCACCATGAACAGAATCAACAATAAATCTGGATCCAGGCTCAGAATGAGCTCCTTGATATGTGCTTGAGAATGGCTTAGTCTCTGGTTAAACCCAGGTTTAAAGCCTTGCAGGGTAGGGTTGTCAAAAGTATTGAAACTCAAAAAAGTATCGATACTGAAATGTTGTATCCGGATACAATACTCGTTTTCAAAAGTATCGATACTCAGTGCCGTCACCAGTGGCACCTAAGCAGTCATTCATCTAAAGTGCAGAATAGAGGACAATGCACTTTCAGAACACTGTGTGATTGAATAATTCTACGCACTTTTCAGTTTCAGACTTTTTTCTGTAACAGGTGCAGCTGCTGAGAATTATTTTTGTTTCTTAACTGGTTTGACTAGTGTCATTGTTATGTGTGCAAAGCATAGCCAAGGAAGGAACACTTAATTTTAATTTTATAAGTTTTTTATCAAGCTTGCTTAATATTATGCACAGCATACAACCTTTATTGTGTTTATGTATTGTATTTTATTTATTAATGAAAATATTTCTGTAGACTTTTGGAGTCTTTGTTTTTATCCTTGTGGTATCAAAAATGGTATCGAGTATCGAATATTTTCCTTAGTATCGGTATCGAGTTGAAAAGTTTAGTATGGTGACAACCCTATTGCAGGGCAGCCTAAAGCCCACTGCCAACATTAAGACAGAAAAAAGAAAGAAAATAACAAACCATCAGTTCAGGGGTTTGAGAAAATATAGGAATCAGGAAATTGTCCATATACCAAATTGAAAGATTGTTCTTTACTTCAAAAACAATTAAGATTTTAAAATGGATTTACTTTAAAAAAAAAATCAATTTTTAACATGGATGCATAAACACATGCATTTTATTTCTGTGTTAAATTCTGTTTAAAGTAACAGATTATAATAAAAAATGTCTCCGGACCTTTACTGGTTGATTATTTTCTTTATTTGGACCCCGGTGATTTTTAATTGGTGACCCCTGCTCTAGTCTCTGCTTGAACCCCAGTGGGCCTCAGCAGATGGCCGCTCACACTGAGCCTGGTTCTTCTGGAGGTTTCTTCCTGTTCAAAGGGAGTTTTTCCTCTCCACTGTCGCTACAAGCATGCTTAGTGTGAGGGATTGCTGAAGAGTCAATGAGTCGATGCAATCAGCTGGTTTTCCTTAGATAGAAAACTTTGAATCAATCTGACTGGATGATCTGGTGAACTGGAAAGATGACATGATGTGAATTGGAGCTATAGAAATAAACTGAATAGAATTGAAAAGTCTAGATTCCTGCTGAAGTTGGTTTATTTCTCCACGTCTGGTTTCATCCCACAGGTGTTGAAGCAGGAGGTGGAGCTGATGGCGAGGATGGCGAAGACCATTGACAGCTTCACCCAGCATCAGACCAGGCTGGTGGTCGTCATCGATGGTCTGGACTCCTGTGAACAGGATAAAGTTCTACAGATGCTCGACACGGTGAGGAGATAAATGGATTCCGCGCCCTGCGGGACACTCTCCAGCTCTAATGCTCCGGGTTTGACCTTCCGCAGGTCCGCGTTTTGTTCTCCAAAGGCCCGTTCATCTCCATCTTCGCCAGTGACCCGCACATCATCATCAAAGCCATCAACCAGAACCTGAACAGCGTCCTCAGAGACTCCAACATCAACGGACACGACTACATGCGCAACATCGTCCACCTGCCCGTCTTCCTCAACAGCCGAGGACTCTCCAGCGCCAGGAAGATGTGCGCCGCCGCGCCGGCCAACGGGGACGCCGCCAACTCTGAAGGTGAGCGACGCTGACAAGCTTCTGATCGTCTCTGTTTTTCTGTAACGTTTTAGAACCGACCCACTGATGGTTCTGTTCGAAAGATTCATTCTCTGGAGATTTTTTATCAGCTTATTTTGTTTCACATTGAAGTAAAGATGGGAAAAGTATTTTTAATAGCTGTTAATCAGAAGGAAAGCTCTTAAAACCTGCGGCTGCAGATTGTACTGGTGAATCATTGAGCGCATGAAGGTATCAACACCAGAAAAATACAAATATCAGCTAAAAATATCCGATAGACCGATGCATCTGACTCTAATGATGTTTCTTTTCTGTAAAAATTGATCGGGGTTCTACATCTCAATGGTTAAAAAACTGGGTTAGGGTAACTCTGTAAGCCCACATCATCATACTGCCGCCGTTGTGCATGGTTTAGTCAGCTTTTTTTTTTCTCCTATTGATGCATCATTGAAAACCGGACCCAGATTTGATAAATGTAATGAAAATATGCTCTAGTTGTAGATTCGAAAAAAGTTCAAAAACAATCCACTGGACTTTATTGCCAAGTTTTCTCTTCCATCCAGGAAGATTTTTCAATTAAAATGTCAGAAATATCGTTTAGTTCCAGGTTTTATCCAGCAGCCCAACAAAGCCTGGTTTTAGTTTAGAAAACATGCAAATAGAAACGGATGAATGGGTCCCCCCCATTGGAATGGGGGTCGTTTGGTTCTTTGTTAGCCTGCAATGCCCCATACTGTCCCCTCTGTTTAAGGTTGGTTTTCCTTTCTTTACATAGATCTATGTTAAGAAAGAAAAACCAACCTTAAACGGAAGGGGACGACTCAGATTTTAGCTTTCAAAAACCTACAATTTTTTTTGATTTTTAACAAAACATTTATTTAACAATGATTGAATAATGAACAGTTAAAAAAAACTCAGGTCATCAGCAGCTTGTTATATTTCAGCTCTCCTGAGTCAGAAATGGTGCACAATACACTATTAAAACCCCACAGTTGTAAAAATCCCTTCAAATCCCCAGAAGCAAAACTCCAGCCTCAACCTGGCTTACACTTCCACAGAGCCACCGCATCGAGCTGAGGTCCTTCCTGCAGTTTGTCTCTTCGAGTCAGGTAGATAGCCATTTTGGCTTCAGAGATTAAATAATTAAAAATTCTGGATTTTAAATTATTTTAGCAATAGAGAACAGAGGACCTCGCCTGTTCAGCCAGGCCAACATTTCCCTTTAATGACCCTCCTTTCAGAGACATAGACAGGTATGGGGTATGGAGTTTCTTGCATGTGTTGGAAAAATCCAGGCTCAGGATTTTTTTTTTTTTTTTGCTTTAATCCCTGTATACATGTTTTTGTTGTTGTTTAAAGCTACAGTGTGTAATAATAAGGCTCGGGCACAGCGCGTTGCATTCTGGGTACGCCGCCATATTGGCAGCTAGTTGCTACGGTAAACAAAGACCTAAAACAGCACAGAGAAAGAGCACAAAGACGAGTAAACAGCGATGTTAAAAGCGAAGAAAGGATGCGGAATATACCGAGACACACTGCAGAGGGAAGCCAGGGACCGTTATCTGCAAAAGATGGGCTTCATAAACGGACTTGATCCCTACGAAGTAGAAAGCAAGGAGTGGTGCGTTGGGGAAGAATTTCTACCGCCGTTTGCGAGGGAGGACGTATTTTCGTATCTAGTGTGTGGCGTCAGTGCCTACACACATGAAGAATTTCGCTGCTACAAGTCGCTAGAGGCTTACAAACAGCTGACAGATGGAAAAGTTCATGACATGGAAGTTATCAAGCCGAATGAGAACACAGTCATCAGAGCCAAGGTAAGCTACCGTCTCAACATGGTGTGGTGTTTGTTGTGGTGATAAGACTAGGTGCTGGCACTAACGTAAAACATCAAAAATGTATCTAAACAAATCTTGTGCTGACTGTACGTGTCCAGGGATAATGTAGTTACATTCTGATGATATATGACTGTCCTAGCATGGTACTACCACGCAGGGGCGGAGATAGATGAATAAAAACAGTATGTTCTGTAACTTACCAGAATGAAAATGCCGGGAACACACTCTCATGGACACAGGGATTGAGTTGAAAGTTATATTTGGCCGTCTTACAGCAGCGACCCATGCTAGCCGGCGACTCTTTGTTATGGAGGACATTTGTTTTCCATAGAGACGCCTCCAGGTTGGAAAACGGTAAAAAGACAATCCATTTGGGATTTTTTTCCCCGTCCAGTCACAGCTTGCGCTACTACACCCTACGACACAGCAACGGGCGACCATAACGACAGCAGAGGTAAAATGAAACGGCAAAAAACTAAGCAAACTACTAGCAGAAGAAAGCTAGTCCTTACAGGCGCGAAGTCAAAGTGTAAACAATGGGCTGACCAGCTATCAATATGGCTGCCGCGCAACGTGTGACGTCATGTGCCCGAGCCTTATTACAGGGATATACATCATCTACGAGCTCAGCCTCTTAACCTTAATATTTGCGTTGCCTTAGAATTCGTTATTTATAATTACATAGGAGCGGGTCTCGCAGCCATGGAGGCAGACATCTTTGCGCTACAGCAGTGCAGAGCCAACAAACTAGCGATTGCGAGATCGCCCATTACGCTCGAAAGTAACTACGGCAAGTTGAGAGAGATGAACTGAGACGGTACTGAACACACAGACTAATGAAATACTATCTGTAAAATTATCTATGTAAACAAACCTCATCACTTGAGAAGGTAGGTGATGCGGACGTCGTGGAAGACATTTTGTCCCGTAACGCTCGCCGTACTGTTGGGGGGGGGAAGCGGTGGGGGGGAGATGTTCATGTTGCTGCAGTCTGGACGTTAGATGTCGCTGAAAATTACACACTGTAGCTTTAAGATGTTTCTCGTCTGTTCTTCCTCAGAAACGGGCTTAAAACACGACCCACAATGATTGGCGGTTTCTTCCCACCTTGACTTGGTGTTAAAACACGTCTTTAACCCTTTAAAGCCCGATCCAAGAATAAAACAAAACAGAAAATAACTTTTTTTTTTTGGTTCTTATTTGGTCTTTTAACAAAATATGTAAAAAGAAAAAACAGAAATACATTTTTTTTATTAATAACTTATTACTATAAGTCAAGATTATTTTTGTGTAGTCTTCTACTGGCTGTTATCAGGTATATCTGATTGTGAACAATAGGATTTGGAGCAAAGTTTTTACCATTAAATTATGCAAAAGGTGTCAGACGCAAAACATTTCAGAAACCGTATGTATCAAATATGATACATTAGGCATTATAGGGTTAAAGCTGAACTTTGCAGACCTGTGTTTGTTTTCAGTGGGTTGGCATGAGGAGCTGGACAGGAAGCTGTCTCAGCACAGCCTGGGAGAATTAACCAAGTTCGGCAGCAAGACGGCGCTGAACCGCCGGGTGAGTCCGACCCGTTCAGGCCGGTGTTCTATCATACTTGGTCAGACCAGCATACCCAGAGTCTATAACTGTTTATCCATGTAGATGACTAAAGGTAAACACGCCCGTTAAGGTAGTTTAAAGTCTGTAAAAACTAAAGGGATAAATGCAAATCTGACATCTTCTGCATGCGTATTGACTGTAGGTATGCTGGCAGAACAGCGGATCGTTAGCAGGATGTTCTCTGGTCCTCTGCGGTCACATGACTTGTCTTTGGTTGCCGTAGGATACGTACCGGCGGCGGCAGGTGCAGCGCTCGGTGACCCGTCAGATGTCCTTCGACCTGACCAAGCTGATGGTGACGGAGGACTGGTTCAACGACATCAGCCCGCAGACCATGAGGAGGCTGCTGAACATCGTCTCTGTCACAGGTGAGCCGCGTCCTTCTCGCCCGGTGCTCCCGCGTGTCGCCACTAACGTTCGATCCCGCCTCTCTCTCCAGGCCGCCTCCTGAGAGCCAATCAGATCAGCTTCAACTGGGACCGGCTGGCGTCCTGGATCAACCTGACGGAGCAGTGGCCCTACAGGACGTCCTGGCTCATCCTGTACCTGGAGGAGACAGATGGAGTCCCCGACCAGGCCACGCTCAAGAGCATCTACGAGAGGTCAGAGGTCATCCGGCCCTTAGGCTGCTGCCTCCGGCCCGGTCCAAACCCAGCGGGTCAGCAGCTGCTGTGCTTTGTTTCCTCAGAGTGTCCAAGAACATCCCAACCACGAAGGACGTGGAGCCGCTGCTGGAGATCGACGGAGACATCCGCAGCTTCGAGGTCTTCCTGTCGTCACGGACGCCGGTCCTGACAGCCAGAGACATCCGGACCTTCCTGCCCTGCACCGTCAACCTGGACCCGAAGCTCCGAGAGATCATCGCAGGTCAGACCGGCTGCCAGAACCTGCTGCCAGAACCTGCTCAGATGCTTCTGTTTATCTCCTCCCATCCAGATGTTGTCCTTCTGTGAAGTCTTTGATCCAGATGTTCCTCTGGTTCTTTTCTATGTTTCCTTTAGATGTTTCTAATATTTAAAAACAATCCTATTTCCTGAGCGATTTGAACCAGACGGTTCTGAGATCCAGATGCTTTTGGATCCGGATCTAGCTTTTCTGGCTCCCACAGATGTTTCAGCTGTGGTTCAGTCCAGATGTTCTTGTTCCGATCCAGATGTCCGCGCAGCCCGGGAGCAGATGAACATGGGCGGGGTCACCTACCCGGCCCTCCCCCTGCAGGAGGCCCAGCCCCGCCCCACCTCGGTCTACAGCCAGGTGTCGTCCACCTGCTCGCCCTCCGCCTCCTTCAACGGGCCCTTCAACCCGCCAGCAGGGGGCATCATCTCCCCGCAGCCTCACAGCAGCTACTACAGCGGCATGGCTGGCCCGCAGCATCCCTTCTACAACCGGGTGAGTGGACAGGCCCCGCCCACCATCGCCTCGGTGATGTCATCACGCCATGTGACCTCCTGCTTTGGTTTCGTTCATCATCTTTTTTTGCTCATTTTGGTTGATTTTAATTCCTGTGTCTGACGGCGAATCTCTGCTGCCTCGACCAATCACCTGCAAGGGCGACTCTCACAGCCAATCAGCTGCGTTTTTGGCTCTGACACGGCAGAGATTCACCGGTCATAGTTTTTATTTTCTGTTCAAACGCCTCCATGAACTTTATTTTGATTTTCTCCCCCCCCCCATCCCTCAGCCATATTTCTCCCACCATCTTTACCATCTGCCACGCCCGTTCGTGGCCTCCTTCCCTCCACATCTTCATCTACGGCCGCCTCCTAAAACCTCCTTCAGCAGAGACGCCGGCGCCGCTGGACCCGTAAGTACGAGCAGCAGGAACCCGGAGAGTCGATAGCGATGTCAGGCGTCACCAGAGATTAACTCTGACATAAAATGACACAAACCAAATGCAACGCTAACGCTAACCGAGGCTGTAGATCAGAGCTTCACCTGAGTGAAGTTGGCCCCGCCCACCTTCTTCAAATCAGACAAAATTAGTGTAAAACATTCGTGCAACAAAAATTTGTTTGTGCCGCTGTGATTTTAAAGATATAAAGAAATATTTCTAGAGGTCATCAAAGGTCAACCAGCCCCCCCACCTTCTTCAAATTAGACGAAATGGGGGTCAGTTAACTCGGCTCCGTTTGTGCAGCTAAAACAGATGTTAACTGACCTTTGATGACCTCTACAAAATATTAATATCATTGAAATGATAGCACTACAAATGGAAATTTTTGCCATACAGAAATATAAAATTTTAAAATTAATTTCAAATATAAAATATTAAAAATTTAAAAATGCATATTTTAAAATATATAAATTTTTTCTACTGCTATCATTTAAATGATATTAATAGTTTGTAGAGGTCATCAAAGGTCAGTGAACATTTGTTCATTCAGAAACTCTGAATTTCATATAAATTATAAGTTGCTAACCTCTAATTATATAATTTTAAACTGTAAAAAAATGAAAGCGGCACAAACGTTTGACACTAATTTTGTCTGATTTGAAGAAGGTGGGGGGGCCACCCCTTCACTCAGGTCAGAGAACAGTTTTCTTTAAAGTCAAATAAATAAAAAAATATTTTTATAAAAACATTGTTTAATAAATATTCCATTAAAAAATCCATATAAAATTAATACTTTATTATTTTTATCTTTGTTTTTCATGTATTTATTTTGACATTTATTAATTACTTTATTTACGTTTTATTTATGTAGAAAATATATTAACGTTTATCTATTTCAAAAAGTTTTAATTTCAGCATATACTTATTCATTAAGATGTAAGTATTTAATTTAAAATCTTTTGTGTTACTTATTTCATATGTGATTTCTTTTAGGATTTATTTCAATCAAACTGTTTTTATTTTATTTATGTTTATACTTTTTTATTTTGAGATTTCCATATTTATTTCATAATGGTGTTTTGAATGAAGTGGAGGCGGTGTAGATACGTCAAATATGGCAACCCCACTCGGACAAAATGTATCGCACCCGTTTCTTAAGGATCAAATCTCTTTTTGGAGTCTAAACATATTATAACCTATATTTGCTTTTATTTTACATTTCATTGGCGATCTAAAGTAGCCGAAAGTAGAAAGTAATAATTGTCAGTCTTGAAGGAAATTACAGACAGACTGAGCTCTGCTATTTAACAAGGTGACAAAAAAGTCTCAGCTTATTTTTATTCTTTTTATTAAGATCTGAAGACAGGAAGGACAAATGGAGCATCTTAAAAAATGACTTTCGTAGAGATTTTAGACAAATAAAACACTTATTCCCTTTGTAGAAAACGAACGGTTGTTGTTGACATACATTTAAAAGTAGTGTAGCTTAATGTGGCTAACTGAGCGAGCTAAAAGAGGCTAACCTGTTTGCTACTAAGCACAGCTAGCCACAGCGCTACCCAGCTCTCCCCCTTTATATCACGGTCTAACAGTTACTTTGTTCACCAGAACAGATTTTTTTCAGTTTTGTTATCAATCAGGTAGAACTTAATCGGTCATTAGACACGCTAACGCTACAGATGCTCCTGACTCGGCATGTTATTATCGTTGTCAGGGCAACCGAAACGTTTTACATCATGTGGCAAAGTTCAGCCAATCACGTAGCGTAACGTCACTGGCGTGAAGCAGATCCGGTAGCTACAGCAGCTCTGCTTTAGAGGTCTGTGAAGGGACTGAAGATTCCAACGAGATTCTAGTTAGCATGTCCCAATTAGCTTCCGCTACCATGTTACACGAAGCTAAGATAGACACATTTTCATTTTACTGATTTCATTTATTGCTTTTTACGCACTTAGTCACCAACAGATCACATCTTGCTTCTGGTCACTAGCTTAGCAGTTAGCCGTCATGCTAAATCCAGCTACGCTTTAGCTTGCACAAATCCCTGTTAGCATATCAACCTTAAACCATTCTGTAAAGTTTTGTTACGTCCATTTTTTTGTCCCCAAACTTCAAGCAGACCGTTGCGGTTGTAGAGCTGCGGTCAAACATGAACCCAGTCAGTCTTCCTACGGCTTCCAGGTCATTCCAGGTCACGGAGGTTAAAGTTCTGCTATTTGAGTTGAAGCTCTGAACAAAACACGATGCCTTTATTCATATGTAATAATAATTGATTAAAACATTTCTTTTTATTTGATTATGAATGAAACAGCTTTCCATAAGTTTCAGCCTTTGACCCTAAAAATACCAATGGAACAGACTGGAGACCCTTTAAAAAGAAATCGCATTATATTTGTTTATTAAGTGGAGAAATTATATTATTTTTGAATAGATATTTAAAAAAAATCTAATATTTTGATCTTTGATTTTACATTTATTTTAGTTTAGTTTTAGTTTATTACATTAAATTTTTTGATTCATCATTTCTATGTACATTAATTGTTTCATAAGACATCTAATTGTTTAAAATGTCCTCTGACCTGCATGTGGCCCAAACATCCGAACAGAACCTGAGCTAAACGCACTGGGTCAGATGGTTTAAAGGAAAAGTCTGGTCAGAAAGGAATAATCAATCGATCATTAATTATACCTAAAACTAAAACATTGACTGTGATTTAATGAATTTAGCGTTAATCAGTTAAAAGAAATAAGAATAATAATTTTCTGCATGATCACTGAATGGGAGCGGCCATTTTTGCCCAAATATAGTAGCCCCTCCCTCCTGCCATCTTCCAGCAGTGACGTCACGGTGCGGTAAGCCTAGCGCCATTCTCCCTGCTTTCCAAGCTAAATCAATGGGAACTACTAGACACATCTGCAATCAACAACAATTATTGAAGATTTCCAGAGGACTTCACCATTGAAATTCACCAGAGCTATAGTGAAACTGACAATGCCCACGTGCATGGCAGCTGGATGCTGGAATACATCGGGTAAAAGTGAGAAAAAAAGAGTTATTCCACCTTTCTGATTCCTGATCCTCCACGGACGGGTTGGTCGTTGGATCGCCAACTTGAAGAGGGAGGATTTGCCATCTAACTTCTGGCCAGAGAAAAAACCCGTAATATGTAGCCAACATTTGGAAGAAGAATGTTTTCAAGATGACTTGGATAATAGCGCGTTGTGACAAACACCAGATACAGCACTGGGACTTGATCAACAGCCGATACCGCACTGTGACGTCACTAACCAGTAGGTGGCAGTAGTGTTCTTTGACAAACATGGATGCCTCCAGTAAAGCACATTCACATGAAAATTACTCTGAATTAAAAACACTGATCATTTATTGAACAGGATGGAATCATTTCAGATTTAAAGAACTTTCAGAAGTTTGAATTCTGAAGCCGATCGGACTTTTCCTTTAAGGTCGGCTCCAGAAGCTTGACAGGTTCTGGTTCTGTTGCATCACCTCATTGAGTCTATGGACCACCAGAATCATTAGCTGTGACTCAGCCCCTCAGCATGGTGCTGCCACTACCATGCCTTATGGCGCCCAATCTGTGTAGCATTGCAGGAAGCCTTTTGATGGAACATGAGGAAGTTTAACTGGCTTTACTGGCACCCATAACAGTGGTGTTATACTGGTTTTAACCTTGATGGCTCCTCAGTGGTGTTAGAACCTGCTATTGGTTCTTTCCTCTAGATCTAGAACAAATAGACATTTAAGGAGATACAAATGATCTGACAAGGCTCTAATACTGAAGTTACAGCACCAACTGTTCAGCATGGTAGGGCAGCATCATGCTGTGGGCTAAACATGATGGAGAAGTGCGGCTAGTTGATTCAGGCAGGTTTTGAAGAAAGATGGCCGCTTCTCTGTGTTTCCTGATTCAGTCGGAATCTGCAGCATCAGAGCTTCAGTTTCTTCTTCTTCTGCTGCTCCGCCTCCATTTCTCTCTGCTGTGGGTTTTGATCAGAGCTGCTGATGTTTGTTATCCTGTCGGTTCTGTCCTGATGTTTCCATCCCTCGCCTGTCTGTCTGTCTGTCTGTCTGTCCTTCTTTCTGTCTGCAGTCTAAGAGTTCATCTTTTAAAAGGAAGCAGGTACTGAACTTTCCCTGACCCCCCCACCCGTTACTTGTATGTCCACAGAACTGGTCACCGTTAGCGATCAGCTGCAGCTCGTCCTCCTGACCAATCAGCAGCTTCAACGTCAAACAATCCTTTAAATTAGACTCATTTGAAACTTTCAAACACTTTTTGACAGAAGGTCCTGTGGACATACAGAGATGGCACCCCAGCACTCCCAGCATGCACCTTGCCTCGACAACCTGCACCTTCACCTGTGCCTTGATCCTCTCACTCTGGAAAACCGCTTTCACCTCTTTGGGGAAAAGTATGGTGCAGGAAAAGGGACAAAATGAACATAAACATAGATTTGTTTCTTCATTTTCCTCAGTATTATTAATAATTGGCCTGTAGTTATATAGAGCTTTGGTGATGTCAGCTGTACACAGGCGCCACCGCGCCCTCTGACCTCTATCAGTAGGGAAAGCAGGTGAAGTGTCTTGTCTAAGGACACAACACTGAAAGCCAGAACCAGGGCTTGAACCGACAACCGTGCAGGGCAGACTCCACACAATAGACAACATGCAAATGATAACAGCCGTCATTTAAATCAGGATTAAATTATTAAAGCAATATTTATTAACTTTGAGCCAAGAAGCAGCTTAATGTAAAATATATTAAAGAATATATGAGAAGAATGACGTTAATACCGGCTGTAGGTGCAGTACTCTCCAAAAACATAGGGGGCAGTACCCCTGGTGAGTAAAACTTAGGCTACGTTCACATCGCCAACAGCAGAAGCAACAAAAAAAAAAAAACGTGCTGCTTCATCTTTGATGCTTGTGCAAGTTTAGTTCTGATGCGGCGCTGAAGCGTCTTTGCTGCTCTAGTGGGTCTGATGCGCGATGGGCGGAGCTACTCTATCCTTTCTTTCTTAGTGGGTTAAAAAGTAGTTTTAATGTTTTTAAGTGAGAAAGTCCACCTTAAAACTTCATCTGTGCAGTCAGTTCATCCAGATTCAAAGAAATTTGCCTGGATGCGCATTAACTATTGACTTTGCACGTAAACTAGCTGCTTCTGCCGCCTCTGCTGCGTGCAGCCTGAACGTAGCATTATGCTACGTTCAGGCTGCACCAGCAGGAGCAGCAAAAACACGCGTGTTGCTTCATTTTCGATGCCTGTACAAGTTTAGTTCTGATGCGTGGCTGAAGAATCTTTACTGCTCCAGCTGCACGGTCGAAAAGTGGGTCTAATGCATGTTGGGACCTGACTCCGCCAGATGGATTTGCTCCGTTGTAGTAATTTTGGGAAGGGGCGAAAATACTGGTTAGCTGATTGGCCTATGTTGGTGATAGACGGGCCAAATAAACCAATCAGATCAACGAAGCATATGACGTACTAACAGAGCGACGACGAAGAGGAGCCAATTGATAGATCAAACTCTTGCCGAAACCAGTCGGGAAAAGAGCAAAAACATCTTTTCCTCTGAGAAAAGCCTCCAGAGCAGTGTTTTGCTCTTCTTTCAGTGAAGAAATACTCTGTAATTCCGATAAAGCTTGCTGGATAGCCACGCTAACGCTAGTTTCATCGGCTGAAGCCGCCATGTTCTTTAGACTGAACTGTTGCGCTTCTCGTTGCGCCTCAAAGCCAACGCTGATTGGACGTTCGTTTGGTGAACGGCTCCAAATTTTCTTCAACGGAGAGTCTCCAGACTGATTAGCGAGTGAAACCTTGAAAGCTCGCGAGATCAGGACGGTCTCACGAGGCTAGTTGGGCGTAGCTACCCTATCCTTTCTTTGCCTGTAGCAATGGTGGCTATATTTACTGTGATCAGTGAGTAAAAAGTAGTTTTAATATATTTTTAAGTGAGAAAGTCCTCCTGAAAACTGGGAAAAACTGGCATCAGCTGCATCAGGCCCGCTCGCCTCTTCGCGGCAGATGTTAGCGTTTTCCACGTACGTAATCCAAACTGCAGGCACCAGGATAATAAAATCAAACATGTTTTGCCGTCAGGTTTGGATAATCTAAGTTAATTTAGGCGTTAATAAACTGTTTCAGAGGAGCGATCATAGCGCTCTGCATCAGCAGCGCTGTGTCTGACTCCCTGCCAGCTTCCAGATCAGCTTCTCTAATTGGTTGATGCGGCGCGTCCAGCAGCTAAAATAAAATTTTTCCAACTCAAGCAGCTGCTGCTTCTGAAACGCCTCAGATGCTCTGAAGCCCATGAGGCGTTGCTTCAGCTGCTCTAAACGCGCTGCAGGACATTACGGTCATTACGAACGTATCATTACACAGAGCTGCTTTAATTTGTTCTGTTTTAGAAGCCAAATTAAAAAAGAAAAGATATTCAGGACGAAATAAAAACAATAATCAATTAAATGAACTGTTCACGTGTCGACATTTTTATGTCTTATAGGATTTATTTTATATTTAGAATGTCTTTATTTATTTTAAATGTGCTCCTTTTTTAAGAGAAATACATTGTGTTTTATTAATAGTACTAATGCGGGACGTTAGGCCCCGCCCCTTGCTGTGACTGCTTCTGTAGACCCACCCACTGTCTGCATGATGCTGTTTCCTTTGGTTTGAGGCTCTAATTGATCCTGATCACAGATTTGAGTTGGAATGAAATCCTGAACCTACTGACCCGGTTGTGTAGCTGCTTCGTTAGTGACTGGTTTAGATGGCATAACGTTCTGGTCGTCCCGCCATGAGGTCCGCTTTCTAACGGCCGTCTGTGTCGGTCCGCAGGGATCGGCGTCGGTCGTGTCGGGTTCTCCCGCCATCCTCCTCAGCTCCATGACGACGGACGGCGTCTGTGAGCGTGTGCGGCAGACCGAAGGCATCGACCAGAGCATGATCGCTCAGTACACCGCCACCATCAAGAAGGTCGGTGGCGCGGCTTCGTCCGGCTGCAGCAGAACCGACTGCAGATTAACGTTCCTGCTCTGACCTTCTGTCCTCAGGCCAACATCAACGGCAGAGTTCTGTCCCAGTGCAACATCGACGAGCTGAAGAAGGAGATGAATATGAACTTTGGCGACTGGCAGCTGTTCCGAGCCACGGTCAGGACGCGCCGCCGTCCAGCAGGTGTTTTAGAAGCCGGTTCAGCGCCGGGTTTAACCTTTCTTCTTCCTTCTGCCGCAGATTCTGGAAATGCGTCACATTGAGAGTCAGGTGCTGCACGAGGAAACCGCCAGTGAGCAAGGCAGCATGGTGGGGGGTCCCACTGAGGTGGGGAGGCGGGCCATGGCGCCGCCGCACGCCGGAGCCAGCAATGCGGACGGGTCGCCGATGTACAGCTTCAACCTGAGCTTTGAGGAGCTGAGTGGCGTGGGGCTGGATGAGGCGCCGCGGCACGGAAACGTCCAGTGGACGGTAGGGGACGCCTTAGAACCGTCCTGGAGGGTAACATCGGTAGCTTCCTGTTTAACCGTCCTATCACCATCCGTCCTCAGGGGGGCGCTCACCGGACCGCCAGCATGACCAGCTTGAACTCGCAGGAGTCGTCGAATGACATCGGCAAGCTTACCGACAAGCAGCAGGCCGAGTACCGCAACGCCTACCAGGAGTACATCGCCCAGATGGCCCAGCTGGAGATGAGCGGCATCGGCGAGAAGCCCGTCCAGCCTCAGCCTGGGCAGTTCATGACATCATCAACGGGGGACAAGAATAAGGACGGCGCAGAGCAAGACGGACGCAAGTCCTTCAACAAGAGAGGCGGGGCCAAGCTGGCGGCCGACGCCACTGACTTCAACTCCGGCGGAGATTCGCTCGATCCGATCACCGAGGAGGACGAGAAGACCGGCTCGTCCAGGTCCCTGCTGACCCGTAAGCTGTCCGCCGAGCGCGGCGGATTGTTCCAAGGCGCTAGCGACCTGAAGCTGAAAGCCAGCGGCGGCCTGCGTTACCAGAAGCTGACCAGCGACGACGAGGAGTCCGAGGAGTCCGACAACCCTCTGCTGCCCAAAGACGGAAAGAAGCCGCTCGACCCCAAGCTACCCGGCGGCTCGCTGGCGCTGAAGGGGAAGGACTACCTGTCGGACGCCATGTTGGACAAGAAGGACTCGTCCGACTCCGGCGTGCGCTCCAACGAAAGCTCTCCCAACCACTCGCTGCAGGACGAGGAGGCCGACCTGTCTCAGCTGGAGAGGGCCAACCTGATCGAGCTGGACGAGGAGAGCGCCGGCAGGAAGCGCGGCCTCCCCAGCAGCCTGAGCGGCCTTCAGGACCCGGCCGTGGCGCGCATGTCCATCTGCTCCGAGGACCAGTGCAGCCTGCTGGCCAGCAGCCCCGAGGAGAGCTGGACCTCCTCCAGGAGCTACAACCTCAACCGCACGCCCAGCAACGTCACCCTGAACAACAACACCAACGCCCAGCAGGGCGGCCGGCCCCACCCACCAGCCGAGGGCTCCACCTCCTCCAACCAGACCTCCACTGGCGACGTCATCATCCCGCCGACGACCACCGCCACCAGGCCAGGCCCCAACAACGAGAACGTCCGCGTGGTCCACCTGAAGAGAGGCCTGAAACCCGGAGACCCGCCGGAGATCTGCGCCGTTACCTCCGACACCGTCACCTTCGGCGAGGAGCGCGAGAGCATCCTGTGAGCTCACGGCGAGAACGAAATAGAGTCGCTGAAGCTCCGCCTCCTGAAAGAAGCTGGAGTCGATCAGTTAGCTGTTGTAGTCGTAGTTGTAGTTGCACGTGTGGAACAGCTGAGGCTTCGTGTTGACGTAAAAAACTCCGCTGCATGCTGTCGTGACGTTCGCCTCATCGTAGCGATCCCGTTAGCTTAGCATGTTTATCTCCTCATCAGAGTTTTACCTAAATTTGCTGCTAGTTTAGATTTTAGGCGTCTTTGATGTCAGTATTTTAAGCTCTTATCTGGACCAGGTGTCGCCTCCTGGACTTCCTGCTTAAATAAAAATGAAATAAAAAACTAAAGTTGGTGTTAAACTTGTGGATGATGGTGCTTCATTCTCAGCTGGTTTTTATTCTGAGGCTCAACAGGATCTTTATGCCCCATTTCCACGAATTCCCTGAAACCGATCCGAGCTCCTTTTACGCGTTAGGCTAGCACGGTTCCTCGCCAACGATAATATAACTCTCAAGGAATCACGCAAACTCACACGGTCTAGTTCACAGCGTTCCATTGATACTCAACAGTTACCGTGGTGACCGTGCTCAGACCGTTCTCTGGAATAATCAATAGATCATTATTTATACCTAAAACTAATATGTTTGCAGTTATTTAACTAATTATGCGTTAATCAGTAACAAAATAAAGCTACTCGGAGCGGCCATTTTTGTCCAAATATAGTAGCCCCTCCCTCCTGCCATCTTCCAGCGGTGACGTCACGGTGCGGTAAGCCTAGCGCCATTCTCCCCGCTTTACAAGCTAAATCAATGGGAACTACTAGACACATCTGCAATCAACAACAATTATTGAAGATTTCCAGAGGACTTCACCATTGAAATTCACCAGAGCTATAGTGAAACTGACAATGCCCACGTGCATGGCAGCTGGATGCTGGAATACATCGGGTAAAAGAGAAAAAAAAAAGTTATTCCACCTTTCTGATTCCTGATCCTCCACGGACGGGTTGGTCGTTGGATCGCCAACTTGGGCTACGTTCCCACTGCAGCCTGAAGTGACCCAAATCCGATTTTTTTCCCCACTACATGCGACCTGTATCTGATCTTTTCATAACAGTCTGAACAAAACAAATCTGTTTTTTTTTTTATGCGACCTGTTTCTGAAAGGCCAGGTCGCATTCATCCGACCTGAACGCCATTAGTAGCCGACAAAGCTAACTCTTCTATGTCTTGCTACACAGAAGCAGCAAGAAAAACAAACAAACATGGCAGATGATGATGCAGAGAGCAGTATTTTTTTATCCATCTTGAAAAGATTGAGGTTTTAAGGTTGGGAAAGATCGCTAGATGCGCTCCAGCGCTACATCCATGTTTAGTTCTGTAAAGGCAGAGCACGCTGGCTTGTGACGTCATTGCATCCTCTACTGCGCATGCGAGACACTTAAGCTGTATGAATGCAGTTCACACTGGAGATCACATACAAGTCGCATATATTTGGAAATATATACGGCAACGCACCAAAAGAAAATCGGATTTCACAAAAAAATCGGAATTGAGCATCAAGGCCTGCAGTAACGTAGCCTAAAGAGGGAGGGAGGAGCCAGGAGCCATCGAACTTCTGGCCAGAGAAAAAACCCGTAATATGTAGCCAACATTTGGTAGAAGAATGTTTTCAAGATGACTTGGATAATAGCGCGTTGTGACAAACACCAGATACAGCACTGGGACTTGATCAACAGCCGATACCGCACCGTGACGTCACTAACCGGTAGGTGGCAGTAGTGTTCTTTGACAAACATGGATGCCTCCAGTAAAGCACATTCACATGAAAATTACTATGAATTAAAAACACTGATCATTTATTGAACAGGATGGAATCATTTCAGATTTAAAGAACTTTCAGAAGTTTGAATTCTGAATATGATCGGACTTTTCCTTAAAAAGTGTAAATGAGGTATTAGATGTTCTCATTTTAAGGCTGGTTTTTAAGAACAAACAGCAGAGGGCGCCATAATCAAGGAAACACGTAGCATTAGCTATTAGCTTCCTCCCATCTGGATAAACACAGAAAAGGTTGAACTGATTGGGAAATATGTATGTTTACAAACTCTTCTCTGTTTTCAGGATATAAAAATATATCTAATTAAAAAATAAAAACATTTAAGGCTTATTTTAGTTTCATAGCTGTTAATCTGTAAAATAAAGGAAACAGGCGGGTAAAAACATTTTACGTTTCCATTCGATTCGGTTGATTTATTAAGCATCACATGTTATAAAGGCAGTTCAATGGTTATCTTAATATATAATATATATAATAATATAATATATATAATATAATATATAATATATATATATATATGTTATAATTCATTTCATCGTTAAAGGAATGGGTTTAAACCTCAATAAAAGCAGAGTATAAAATATAAGCTGGGTTGATTCTTACATATTGTGACAAAAATATAAATCAGATCTCTTTATGTCAAAAAAAGCAAAGTTAGAAACATTTTACGCTCAATGAAGAAAGAAAAACCTTAAATCTGATTATTCCTGCTGTCTAACAGAGAACTGGGGCTTTAAAAAGCCCAGGAGTAACAGTTGGCCCTTCAGAATAAAAGCCAGACTGATGAATCCACATCCTGAAAATGTAAACCTGTGTTTTTAAGATGATGTCGTGTGCTGTGGTCACGTAACTCTGTTGTGGAAAAAAAAATGACAAATAAAACGTGGATGTGCAAAACAGATCCTGCTTCCTGCTGCCTTTATGGGTCGCCTCCTTCTCTTCCCACATCCTGCTGAACTTTGGCGTTTTTAGCCTATTTTTTGAAGCAACCCTGATTTGAATCAAAGGACCCCTGAAATATGTTCTGGTTAGTCAGAAATACAAAAAGAAAAACAAGTGAACAAACCAGATGAAGCTCCTTCACTAAAATGTTGACCAAGGCTTTGAGGAAAACGCTGCGTTCAGGTGTTTCTGAAATCTCAGATTTCTGCACCTATTGATTGTTTTTTTGGTGAAATGTTCAGGTGCTCTAATTAGGGATGCACGATATAATCGTCCCCCTATCGGTATCGGCCTTAAAACTGAATATCGGACATCGGCCACCCCACCGATATTTAACCCGATATTTGATCAGCTTCTGAGTTTCTAAAGTCTAAAAAAAATATATATACTACTTCTTCTTCCTCAAAAACTTCTTTTTTACAGACTTAAAAACTTCTAAAGACGAGGGAAAAAATATTGATCCATTAAAATATCCCAATATCTTCATATGCTGATATATTGCCATTTAAAAACACCATATCAATCTCTTTTACTAATGAAATATTGCTATATGTCATCGTTATGCTACGAAATCCCCCGAAAATTCACCAAATGTTGCCATATTTTTATATGTTGATATATTGACGCGGTATCGATCTATTTTACTAACAAAATCTCACAAGAATTTGCAAAATATCACGAGTTTGTAACAGAACGATGAAATTTCACGAGATTTTGAAAGTAAAATAGATCGATACCGCGTTTTTAAAAATCTATTTGATATCAGCATATGAAAATATATTTGAGTTTATTGTTTTTCAAAGTGTCAGAAATGGATAACAAAACTGCTATTTTCAATGACTACTTATTTTTGTCCAGCTTTAACATCGGTATCGATATCGGTTATCGGCTACATGAGTTTTAAAATATCGGCATATCGGCCAAAATCCCAATATCGTGCATCCCTAGCTCTAATGTGTCTGAGATTGGTTTGTTTGATTATATTCAAAACCACAACTCATTATCAATATTTAAATTTAGTGAATCATCAGTAAATTGCTACAATTTCTTTTAGTTTCTAGTTATTTGAATTTATAATCTATTTTATGATTTATGACTCCATCCTGGAGAGAAATATCAGCTGTGCTGCTGCCATCAACACCTTTGTTTCTAGATGTTGGAGCTTGGCCTGTTTTCCAGTGTAGTCCTGTTTCTCTGACTGTGACTAACTGGATGTGCTCTCTTCATCCTCTGACATGGGAGCTGGCTCGGAGCTCGTCTGCCTGGCTGTGTGTTTCCTGGACGGGGCCGCCTGTGGAGCTGGTTGACAGTTGCCTTTTGTATCTATGCTTCTTTTTCTATGTCTGCTTCTGTCTCCTTGAACCCCAGTGGGCCTCAGCAGATGGCCGCTCACACTGAGCCTGGTTCTGCTGGAGGTTTCTTCCTGTTCAAAGGGAGTTTTTCCTCTCCACTGTCGCTACCAGCATGCTTAGTGTGAGGGATTGCTGAAGAGTCAATGAGTCGATGCAATCAGCTGGTTTTCCTTAGATAGAAAACTTTGAATCAATCTGACTGGATGATCTGGTGAACTGGAAAGATGACATGATGTGAATTGGAGCTATAGAAATAAACTGAATAGAACAGATAGGATGTGATAGGGAATAATGGAGTCAGTTATTAACAAAACACACTGATCAAGTTTCAAAAATATGTTTAAAAAACAGTGAAATTAATCTTTTATGTTTGGCAACTTGTAATAAATGAACTACAAAAATACTGATGCCAACTTTGTACTTTTATCAGAATCTAATCGGAGGTTCTAAGATCTACCTTCTGCACTGGATAAAACATACATTCTATAGTCGTTTGGCGCCACCTATTGGTAATAATTAATATTTCCCATACTAACATTATTACAACAGCCTGACCAGACAGCTCTCTGGGTGCTCAGCCCCCCTAAACCTCTGGTCCTAGAACCGCCCCTGCTGCTGAGGTTTGCTCACATTGATTAGTGACTAAGTTCACTCAGGCCTCATGAAAAATGTGACTTTTTTTTTTATGTCATGGGTGTTATAAACCTAATCTTTATTCTCTTAGGAATCGTAGTCTCGGGTTTTCATGCCACCATCTTTAAAACCTGCTTCTCAGTTTAAAAAAACATTTAGTTTTTACTCTGAAACTGCATCATTAGTCAGAAGTTGTTGCGTTGAACGTTGAAGCCTCTGACTGAATATTTGCCTCATAGCTGCTCTCCTCCTTCATGTTTTGCATGTTAGAAGAGTTGGATCGTAGCCGAGCTGCAGACCTGAGAGAGAGAAGATGAAACTGCCTGTTTCAGATCTGCTTCATTCAGATCATCTGTTTTTCATCCATGTGGCTTCATCCCTGGGTTCTGTTCAGTTCTTACTGCAGAATGTTTATTAAGGAGTCAGAAGACATTTAGAAATAAATGTCTGTGAAAAAATGTGCATCAAACCCAAAATATCATATTTTCTATTTTATCTGAAAGCTTTTTTAGTTACTGCTTCAACCAACCTGACAATAAGGAAAGAGTGAAAAACTAGTGATTGCAAATCTACTCTGTTTGCTGTCAGAGAAA